CATCATCATACCGCTGGATTGCCTGAACCTGCATCTTTATCACCACCCCTTCCCCAAACCGCGACCAAACTGATTCCCCATTGCAAACCCCGCCTTGTGAAACATTCAGATCCAGGAATTCAAGATCACTGCACTTGCACCCCAAAGGCTTTCCATTCACATCAAGGATCTCAAGATATAGCTGTCCACGATGACCTTGACGAGAGTCGGCACACTTCAGATACTGCAATGGGATCCCAATTTTCGGATATATCAACCCAATAGGAATCAGAGCAGAATCTAAAACAATTGAGTATGTTGGACAAAAGCCCCACCCGTAGCTCTTTATCCCATTCTCCAAAAGCATTGATCCACCAAAGTTGTCAAATTTATTACAATCGACACCCGGAGCGAGGCCATCTCCCACATCAATCCAACTTAAATGAATATCTCTATTAGAAAATGCTTTGCTCACGATACCAAACAATTCATGAAATTTGACCATAAACCCATCTAAATCCCTTAAAGCTTCAGAACTAACACCCAGATTCATATACTCAGATAAGCAGCTTATGGAGTTGGGCAAATGGGAAAACAAAAGCACCAAATTTGAACAAATCTTAGGAAATTCGACATTAGCCTTACCCGATAGATCATCATTTTCAGATTCCCAAGTGCAATCGAAAACGAGCTTGTGCAAAGAGCTAGCGACATTTGATGCACGAGACGGTTTTACCTCAAATTCCGCTGGAATAGACACAGATGTGAGGATAGCTATAAGGGAGCTTAGCGTTTCGGAAGGGAGGTTGAAAGAAGAGGGGAATAAGCTGCCGATGAGTTGATCGACGACGGAGGTAGAGAGGTAAGGGCAGAGAGAAGAGAAGAAGAATTTGAAGGAGAAGAGCGACTGGGTGAGGGAGGCGAAGGCCAGGAGGCGCCTGGCGGTTGCGGAGACTGAAATGAGGTAAGAGTTAGGGTTCCGGAAGGTCTGAAGCGGGTGAAGATCTATGAGGAGCAGGATGCGCTGGGTCTTCGAGTAGTCAATGGGATCTGCCATTGTTACAGCGTCGGAGATCTAAGGTGATAAAGCCGATAGAAGCTGGAATTCTCACCCAGTCAACACCGTCCTTCTCGTCCGCCGCATATGGATATTGGATCAGTGGGCAACACGCGCCACACATTCCTGACGGGACTGTCTTGGCGGCAAAACATAATGGGCGCTAAATTTCGCTTTTGAAACGCTAGTGTCAAAGCAATGTTTGATTGTTTCGCAATATTGATTTACTGGAATAAATTTATCTATTTATATGAAATTAGTTGCAATTTTTTTAAAGTTTAGAGTTTGTATATTTTAAAAGTTTAGGCTTCCAAAAAAAAGTTTAGGCGTTTTGAATATAAATGCATAAAAGTATTCAAAAGTTTAGGTGTAATTACAGAATGAATTTTTATATACTTTTTTAAGGGTAATTTGAGTTTGCACCCCATTTTATTGTTCAAATTGAACTTTGTACTCCGTTTTTAAAAAAACTTTGTTTTTGCACCCCCAACCCCATATGAAAAGACAAAAATACCCTCGATCAGAAATATGTTGAAGACCAACAAAATTGTTAATAGGGGGCAATTTTGTCTTTTCATATGGGATTGGGGTGCAAAAACAAAATTTTTTAAAAACGGGTGCAAAGTTCAATTTGAACAATAAAATGGGGTGCAAACTCAAATTATCCCTACTTTTAATTCATTATTACATGTGTTTTGGAGCCCGTTTGATAACACTGAAATTAACTGAATCCGTTGATTCTGATGAAATTTATGAAGTAAAGAAAAGTAATTCCAACAATATTTTTTCTTATTATTACACATTTCAACGCGCGGAATAAAAGATTATATCATTGGTGAAAAAATAGATTGATAACTCTGATAAGCCGAAAAATAGGGTAATCAAAGGGACTCATATTTTCTATAACAACCGTGCTAGAGGTACCCGTTGGTGGACTTCGGTTCTCGTTGGTGCGCATGAACCCGATTTCAAGTCAAGGGTACATATGAGGACGGGCTTGGTATGCAATGTTGCAAATTAAAACCTATACTTCTATTTTTTATCATCTTACTATATACTTCGTATAAATCTGAACAAGTAGAATCCATCTCAATACTAATATACAACTTAGATAAAAATTAAAATGTGATTTTTTAATTTATATCCTACGAAGACAAAGAATGAAAGTTGTACTCACCACTGAAGAGAGCGAAAGTTCACAAAAATGAAAGTTTTTCCATAGAAATATTAATTTTGACATATTCTATAAGTAATACTCCCCCATCCACTAAAAATTTGTCATCTTTTCTTTTTTATTGTCTAAAAAACTTTGTCATTTCATTTTTAATCAATTAATTTGTGATTTCTGTTATTTTTCATTTCTCTGTATAAACATCAAACACACACTTTTTACTTTATTATTTTCCGTTCAAGTCAAACTTGGTAAAATATAAAGAACTATAAACCGTCTTTATAAATTATAACACAATTGTGTTAACGTGGGAATGTATGTTTTTTTATAGCATAATTGTGGTTAAATAACACTTGTACTCTGTATCGTTTAAACCATATTTTTGCTGGACCAATCTTGGCCTCTAAAACCTCCAGTTTTGTCCTATGAGGAAATGATTTCTTCTGTTACCAAGAATCAAGCAAAATTTTATACCTCATATGTGTGAAAATATCTAATACTTTCTCATAAATTTTGCTCTTTGTTTGTCAACTTTTGATTGTTTTCTCCCATTTGATTTTACTTGTGCAATATTTTGGTTGCAGGAACCACAAAGAGGTTTTGAACATTGTAGGGGTGAAAACCGAACATTTTGAAGAGTCTTGGGAGCATAAATGGATGATTTGAAGACCCGGGATGAAGCGGTGCTCAAAGAAGTAAGAAACGAAGACGTCAGAGGTGTTTTGGTATACAAATTAAAGACATATGGAACGACGCTCCTCCCGACGTTCTTCCTATTCATTCCATCAAAATTCTTTTTCATAGTTCCATGTGTTGGAACGCCGACAAGGAACGTCGCTCCTACCAACGTTCCCTCAAGAACGGCATCCCTACCAACGTTCCCTCAAGAGCGGCGTCCCTACCAACGTTCCCTCAAGAACGTCGCTCCTACCAACTTTCCCACCGTCAGACTCTCTGTTGGGTATATTTTTTTGTGTTAAGGCAGGAGCCGTGAGAGAAACACTGTTCCTTTCAGCATTCCTCCAAAAAGGAAGATGTTCCTTCCTAGCGTTCCCCTGATTTCCACCTTGCCCTCCTTTGTTCCGAATTTCATAGTTTTTGGGCGAGATTTTTTTTTGCAAACCCCCAGTTTTGATTGTAAGCTTCCTTGAACTCTTTTGTATTGAATTCCTAAGCTTTATTTACATCAAATATATGTTTTTCTTGCATTTAATAGCTAAGATTACATTATTTCCTTAATCTCATTCCCTTTTTATTATTGCTTCACTACATGAGTTTGTGTTGCATATGCTTTATGGATATAGAATCTAGCATGAGTGAGAAGTGGGATTAGGGTTTTGGGGTGTTTGAGGACCATCCAACCATGTGACTATGTGAGGTTATAGGTTTTGGGGTTTGATTTGGGGGGATTTGAGAAATATATTACGCACACTATGTTTTTGTGAAAATGCCTATTTGAATTTTTAGAACTTTGATGGTCACAATGTTCTTAGATGTTGTTTTGGTCCAAGGAGACTTGTAGGGTTCCTTTTGGCACATTCGCATGTACACTATCCCTCTCTATGAAAGGGAGCAGGGGTGGATTCGGGTCGGACCACCCGGCCCGTGGACCGGCCCGGTCCGCTATTGTGCGAGACCGGGACCGGCCCGGTTCTCGGGTCCGGGTCGGGCCTAGGCCCGGGGGGTCTGGGCTCGGGTCGTGGTTTTGGCGAACCGGCCCGGGTACCGGGCCTATTTTAATTTTTTTTTCATTTTTTTTATCTTTTCGGGTTGAGTTGGGTATTTTGGGCCATTTGGGGTGGTGGGGGGGGGGGGGGGGTTGGGGGTTAACTAGGAAAAGGAAAAAAAAACAGTAATTACCCGAGGCCCGGCCCGACCCGGACCCGGGGATTACCTGGGCCGGTCCCGGGCCCCCCATTCCTGAGCCGTCGGCCCGACCGGGCCTGAACCGGCCTGGCTCCACCACTGAGTGGGAGAAGGTAGGAGAACAATTGTTGGTTGTTCTTCTTTGTATGAATTTGGATTGTTATTGGACCATGAGAATAACCGATAGAAACCCTTAGTACTCCCTTGATCATGAGAGTGGCAAGGGAACTTATATCTATCCATTTGTTGCATGACATGTTTCCAAGTATCCCAATTTTATCCACATATCCTCAACTATAGGTTGGTTCTTGAATGCCCTCGCTTACCTTTTAGTTTAATCATTTTTTCTATCTTCATTGCCCTTTAGTTATTTTCGTTAACGCAACATACATCGATTTGGCTAGCTTACATGTTGGATTACTAGATTGATTTCACACTTGATTTTCCATATACACCGTCATGTGAGACAATATCCAGGACTTCCCCATCTTGACACCCGATGAGCAGTGGCGGATGGCATTTGTTCAAGGGTGTTCATGTGAACACCCAAAATTTTGAAAATGAAATGTAAAAATACATGTATAAAATTGATATAATAATTTATATATTGTATTTTATGTAATGTTATTTACGTTTAACCATTTTTTTTATAGTTTTTTGTTGTTGAAAAGTTGGATTAAACAATATTACTCCCTCCGTCCCTTACAATTTTGGTCAAATTTGAACGGCACATGAATTAATAAAGTAAAAACTGTGTAGTTGAAATTTGCAAAGGAGAGATAATTAATTGAAATCACAAATTCTTTTCTAAGAAGGGAAAGTGACAATGTTAGTGCGATAACAAAACAAGGAAAATTGGCAAAATTTTAAGGGACAAATTGAATGGTACTCTACAACATTTTAATGGTAAAATAATTTTGAACACCCCGAATTTGTTGGCAAGATCCGCCACTGCCGATGAGCAAACTAATTATAATACCACCCACAAATTTCTTTCATAAAAAGAAAAATAGGATTAATTTGGTGCAGGGCACACAGGAGATTAACGAGTACTATGCACGTAGTAATATACATCTTCATTTCACATAATACTCTGATTTTTTTTCCCAGGGGACAGAGCCGCCATGGGATGGAAGTAGAGAGGCAAGATAGAGTGATAGAGAAAAGAAAATTAAGTTTAATAGGGTGATTGTGCAGAGTGGTAGTGGGACCAATATTCTTTGACAAGTTGTCCATACAGCGATCCTTCTTTCTTCATTAACTTCATGGGTTCATCATACTCCACAAGTTTCCCTACACAGTTTAAATCAGAAAATGGAGTCATAAAAACTTTGTTGCACAATGAGGATACAGCAAGCCAATGGGTCAAACAAACATTTCGTGCTTTACAAGCATTTTTAATCTTAGAAGCACACTTCTCGTCACTCACATTCCATCACTTTCAAAATGAGGAAATGTGTTAAGAACTTGGAAACTTCAAATTCTATTATCCAGGCAGTTTCGGTTATGATACAACAACATTCAAGCCTAGTCCTAAAAGAGTTTGGGACTAGGTCTTCCATTATGGCGTTATGATAAGAGTTAGAAAACCTTGAGTTTTCATTTTTTTTCTTTTTGATGGATTTTTAATAACTGGAGACTAAAAAATTTGTTAGTGAGGTTTTTTTGAAATTTATTGCATTTTACCTCGTATCATGTCCTAGGATGTAATGATTTTTATATTTGATAATGCAGACTTTTTTTATCATTAATTATCTAACAAAGACTTAACAAAGGTATATGAACAAAATGTGTACACATATATGAAAAAATTATGTATACATCATAAACATATCCCTATGTTTTATATTATGTGTTTCTACCATGTTTTGTATCCTATATTTTTCAAAAATACTGTTTCCCCGAACAGTTTTCCATTTCACATTTCGAGTATCCATGCTACTTAGTTTTTAATAGATGTTCATTTAGCTTTACTCAAGAGTTATTCCTCACCACAAGGATTCCCATGTAGAATGAAACTAAACAGAAAGAGGGAAAAGTAACAAAAAAAGAGGAGGGTGATCTCACCATCACTGATGGAAAGTACCATTGTGCAATCCATAACAGTGGGTATTCTGTGAGCAACCGTGATGACAGTACAATCAGTGAATTCGGTCCTGATCGTTTTCTGCAGAATCATGTCTGTGGCATTGTCAATTGATGCAGTGGCTTCATCGAGCACCAATATCTTGCTTTTTCTTAACAAAGCTCGGCCAAGACAAAACAACTGCCTCTGCCCCATACTCCAGTTTGATCCATCTTCTACAACTGCATCAACCCTCTTCTATCAGTGTTAGTAATAATCTTACTACGGGCACACTACTTTCACAAGACAAACCAAAATACTTACCCAATGAATCGAGCCGTTTCTCTTTCTCCTCCACAGCCTCTTTGAGCTGACACTTCTGAAGGACCTTTTGGAGTAAAAAACACATGCGCAAAAGAGTGCAAAAAGGACAAATGAATGCATATAATGTGTAGTAAGGCTGAACAAAAACCTGATAAAGCCCCAAAACCGATTGAAACCAACCAAAACTAACTGACTTGACCAAAACTGACAGGAAGCGACCGAAAATAACCAAATCAAAACTAACTAAAGGCAATCGGTTCAGTTTTCGGTTTTACAACTCTCAAAATCGTATGTTTTTCAAAAACAAACAAACGAAAGACTCAATCTACCAAATTCATGATACAAACCTCAACAAACGCAGCAGAAATTTAGGATTATACTGAATAATTGAATATGAAGTCTGATCATTTACAACGGAAAAGGGAAGAACGGATAGAAAGAGAAGAAAACAGATCGAGACACTTTGAGAGGCCTCATTCTCCCAGCCTAATTCCAACTGAAACTCTGCCTAAAACTTATTCCTTATTTAGCTTCTATTTATACTACTCTTATTATTAGTAGTAGTATTATTAATTTATTATTATTAATACTATTATTATTATTATTAACACTAGTCAACCCGGGCCTCTATTATCTTATGATTAAAAGCTTTATTCTGCCGGGCTCGTATCAACCCAAAAACAACATAATCGAACTGATGAACACCCCTACTTTATACACATGCGTACTGTGTAGAAAATGTGGCTATACCTCCCATATTTGCTGGTCTGTGTGTTGACATAGTGGATCTAGATTGTATCTCACAGTTCCATGGAAAAGGGTAGGGTCTTGGGGAATAATCCCAAAGCGAGACCTCAAATCATGAAGTCCGATCTTAGATATATCAATTCCATCCACAACAATCCTACCACCTGCTGGCTCTACAAGACGGAAGAGAGCGCCAATAAGTGTAGTCTTCCCACTCCCTGTCCTACCTACAATGCCAATCTTGTGTTCTCCCTCAAAGGTACAACTAATTCCTTGTAGAACAAGTGGGCTACCTTCCCCGTACCGGATCTGTTCGTCAACAGAAATCATTATGCCAATCCATGTACTGTCACAAAGTAGCAAAAAGGGAGTTTACCTGCAAATTTTGAATTTCCACTCTACCCTTCGTCGGCCAATTGATAGGAGGGCGATTCTTTTCAATGATCTCAGGGGCTTCGCTTGGTACATGCATGTACTGCTTTAATCTTTCCACGGAAATGATATAATTTGCTATGGTGCATTGGTTCTGGATGGAAAAAACTAGGGACATGTTTAGCGATAGACCATAAGATAATGCCATCCCAATTAAACCTGCAACATCGTGATGAATTTTAGCAAACAATATATAAATAAACAAACAAATAAATATAATATGTATAGAAGCAATAGTAAAGAAAACTAATATAGAATTATAGGCAGCAGACCTGAGCTGAAAGTCCCAGGTGGAAGCAAAACCATGCAAAGTGCAGATGAGGCAAGAACAGTTGCACTTATTACTTCTAGCCTTTGAATCAACCACTCATTTGCTGCAAAGTTGTGGAAAAAGGGACTGGCATTAACATCAACTAGCTTGAGGTTCTTCGCAAAGAATCTATCCTCCTGTTCGAAAGCCCTGATTGTTATTGATCCAGCTAGAGATTCAGCCAAATGGTTTGCCACAAATGATTTGGTGGTCCCATTAATTCGCATCAATTCTTTGGCAGAGGAAAAGTAGTATCTCTGTTATCAGGGCAACCAATCAGTTCATGTAAACTGAAATCTAAGCATACAAGGAGATAATTAACAAACAATCCTAAACTCTTACCTGTAACTGAATGGCAAGATACACCATTGGTATGGAGACAAACAATACTTGCCATGTAACGAAGGCTAGCACTATCAGATTAGAATAAAAGTTTACGGTTGCTCCAATTGCAAAAATCAAGTTAAAAGGAACATCTAGATCAACAATACTCAAGTCAACAGACACCTGCAATGAATATGAGACGTGTAATAAATACATTCAAAAGAAATGGTCAATGAGTTTGTTCCCAAGAGATAATTATATTTATATGCATAAAAACATACCCGGCTGAGTATCCTCCCTAATGGTGTGGAGTCATAGAATGACATCGGAGCACGAAAAAGAGAATTTATGAGCTGCGAGAAAAGAGAATGTGATGATTGCAAACCCAGAGTAACTGTCGATATAGATCTGATGAGCAAAAATATCATTGAGAGGACTCCAATTAGCAAGTAAACTGCAATTAGCTTCAACGTCGTAACTTTAGAGTTTTCAACACTTGCAGCCATCCATGAGTTTTGTAACACTTGTCCGATCACAAATATAATGTGTGACAGAACAGCTAAGGAAAAGAACAAGTAGCCCTTGTTCTGACTTAGATACTGCAAATAAGGCTTTAGTCCAAGGTCTCCTACTTCCCTTTCTTCTTTCTTAATTAACTGATCCCCTTGAGAATCTTTAGCTCGGGTTTCGAGTTGGACCTTTTCAATATCTCGTGTAGACATTTCACTCCTTTGTGAAGAAGTCACCTCTGAAAGTCTTTCTGAACCAACAGTCTCTTTATGTGCAGCCACCAGTCTCTGAAATTCTTTGCTCAACGCCAATAACTGGTGATAAGGAGCTGCTTGTAAAATCTCTCCATCTGACATCAGCTATTAATAGAAGTACGAGCCGAGAAAATAAACAGATAAGCTCTCAAAGTTTATTTCATCTGAAAATGATATTCTGAGAAGATCTGAAATCGAAAGAGTTGCAAAGAAAAACAAACCAGGACAGCATCAAATGCGGGAAGAAAATCAACTTGATGGGTGACAAGCAAAACAGTCTTCCTTGAGAGCGATCCCATGACATATTCCTGCCGAAGGCGCAAATCAGCCTTCACATAAACATGAAAAATAATGAACTTCAAGAATATATATGATAACAAGAAATCACATTGAATAGGTTTGTAGCAGTATGCGCATCAACAGCACTGAATGGATCATCCAACAGATAGACATCAGCATCTTGATATAGAGCACGAGCAAGTTGGATACGTTGCTTCTGACCACCACTAAGATTAACTCCTCTCTCTCCTATTTCAGTCAGATCACCATAAGGAAGTAACTCAAGATCCTTTATCAGTGAGCATTTCTCCAAGGTTTCCTGGTACCTCTGGCTATCCAATGAAGAACCAAAAAGAATATTATCTCTAATGCTTCCTGTCTGAATCCATGCTGACTGAGAGACATAGGCAATTCTCCCATATACCTCAATCTGTTAAGAAAAAAAATAATTGAGTATAAATTTTAAACTGTAGAAAGCCAACCACACCATATGTGTGTATGCGCGCCTGTAATTGAAGATGTGACTGAAGAAACTTTATCTTCAAGATGCAGTTTACGGTATATGAACGAGTACTTACAATTCCTTTGATGCATGGAACTTCTCCGAGAATTGCTGCCAGAAGAGTAGATTTTCCTGAGCCCACCTCCCCACAGATAGCAATCTTATCGCCCGGCCGAACATCCAGATTAATGTTGCGAAGTGTATATTTCAGAGGATTTTCTTCCCATGAAAGATTGGCTGATCTGAGACATATTGCATAACTTGCAGGGCTGTGTGCGCTATGCTTCCGTCTCACATTAACTTTATTGAGTTCCGGAGCCTTGAGAAATTTGACAATTCTTTCAAATGAAACTTTAGCCTGAATCACTATGCCAATAACATCAGGAATCGTTCTAATAGGATCTTGAACCAGGCGGAGAGTTGCTACAAAGGTGAAGACATTGCTTGCACGCAATGGAACTCCTAGAAAGTAGCAAGCTCCAAAAGTAGCTGTTGAGACTAAGACAGGTGAGGACCAAAATAGAAAGCTATTATATGCTTTGCGCATCTGAACAGATGATAACCACTTCTCTTCTACTTTCCTTAAACCCTCAATGGCATTTTTCAAATGAGTTTCCCATGCATACAACTTCAGAACCTTCATATTCACAAGCGCTTCGGACATAGCCTTAAGCCTTTGATCTTGTGCATCCATCAGCTTTGACTGGAATTTATGTTGCAATTTTGCAAGGGGGGCATTGCACAGTACTGTTAGTATTATTACTAGCAAAGCAGCAAAAGTCGCAAGCCCTACTGCCTGAAAGAGAATTGCAAGTGCAAAGCAGAGCTGAAGACTTGTAGTCCATACTTGATGTAACCAAAATGGAAATTCACCAATACGATAAGCATCAACGGTGACATAGTTCATAATCTCACCACTAGAGTGGGTTAGCTTTGAAGCATTAGATAAACTCATTTGCTTCTTATATATGGCTGCTGTAAGTAATGACCTAACTTTCAAACCAATTAGTCTACTTCTGAAGTACCACTGCCTTTGTGACAAAGATTCCAAACACTTTGAAATGAAAAGCAGTACAGCTAATGCAAATCCCTCATATTTAAAACTTGGGCTTCCTTCAGCAACCTCAATGAAGGCATTAAGAATCATAGGACCAGCAGAAACTGTAATGATCTTCAAGAATGCGAAAAATCCTGATACAAAGAGGTCCTTCTGGTGGCACAAGACTATTGTCCTCAGGATTGAAGGTTGGGCCGAAGGTACCATCTCTTTCTGTTTATTCAGTAGTTCCATAAACATCAAGTAGCACGATTCTGCCGTATCCAGCTTACGCAATTTGGGTATGTCTTCATCCTCAAGAGTTTTCTCCCTCCCTAGTTTCAATAGTGGATTCAACCACCAAAATGTGATTGTACTCAAAGTCCCAGCTTCTGCAAACTTACTCACAGATAGTACAGGTTCAACTTTGTCTCTACCACTTAACGGAGCATAAAGATCATTTTCTTCAAATCTAGAGCTCTTGTAAGTGTATAAGAACAACAAAATTGCTCCTATGACAGACAATACATCTAAACCTATCTCCAGTCTTGCTTTTTTGTGAAGAATAGCAATGACAATGGAGAAACAAAAAGAAATTCCAGCAAATAATAAGGCAAAAAAGGTCAGGAGCTTGACTGAGGGTTCTGAAAAATGCTTTCCATGGAGGGTTACAGTCAAACTGAATGTTAGCCAAGTAATTCCATGAAACAATAATAGTAACCACCAATGCATAGGCAACACGCCTCTGGTTTTCATCAATTCCTCTTGTAAAATCCAAACACCCAGTGACAAATATATCACACCTACTAAGCCATTAAAGGTGGAACATATCAACCGCAGACGACCAATGCCACAATTGCTCACAGGTTTTGATGTTGACTTGGACAGTAAAGAGAAAAGAAGGATGAGGCAAAGAACCACATCAAAAGATATGGTCAACAGATTATTGATGCAAGAGGAATGATGGGTATCAAAGACCAAATTAGTAATACATGGCGTCCCATTCTGATGGATGCAATCTGGTGTGCCGCAGAACATAGACCAGAGATTCTCCATCTCTCTAACTGCATATCCATTTTATGGTAATCAAAGTGTTTAAATCAGGAAGGAAATTTTAAATTTCTGAAATATCAGCCATACAACTTGTGTCACAGAAGCATAATTATATGTTTGGATAGAATGTAAGCGGTGTCTTAAAAAATAGCACATACAGAAAGGAGAATTATATATTGGTTCATCTAATCGACCCTGATTTGGTATTGGAGATTTTTTGTTGCTGTTTGTTAATGAAAGCAGAAAATGGTAAGAAGTTTTGCTGCCTAGCTCTCACCATTAGTTAAACTATAACTCCTAGTGTAAAGTGAAAACTTTTGACCAATGAATATGCAGATCAAGACTTGCTCAAATTCAGCAAACCCTGAAAAGCGTAGGCGTGGACAGCATGAAACTTCATCATTCATATATACATGAAGGGGTGATACTTGACAGTAGAAGAAAAAAACAGAGAGAATATGCCAACATATTCTTTTGGCATTCTATAAGGAATTATTATTTTTAAGGCCTTTAAAGGCATTATATATAGTTATAATCTACAGTTCATACTTCATAGCTAAATTCAAGCTCTTAGGATATATTGTAATAAATAATACCAAATATAGAAGTGACGTCGAGTATCATCACCTTATAAACAGTAGTATAAACTCAACTGAGAGTATATAATACTCCGTATAACATCCAGAATTCAAACAAGAACAAGAGCTACAGCTAATATACTCCCATTATGTGCTTAATGTTAACTTTGCGGAAGACGGAAAACTCATAACTAACCAGAGAGAGGCAAGAGGCGGTCTGAAGTTTACCGCAACACAAAATAATTGAAGAGCTAAAACAGATTAAGGTCGTGGCTTCCTTTCCATCTTACAGAACAATAGAATTGTTTGTCTTCTTTACAGCCTCAGAGCTAGGGAGCTGCCATATATTCTTCGACGTGGTATGGCTCTATTCTTCTAATATATACAGAGGAGTTCGCGCAGAGTTTGTACTTGGGGAGGAATGTGAACAGCGTCATTGCCGACGTACTTCTTTCCGTCTCAAGGAAGGAATGGCGGCGAGGAGAACAAATAGTTTTGTAGTCGTCTTTCTCGTGAGACGTAGCCAGATCGAACACTTCAATGATTTATTCTCGGAGCTCCTTTATTCTCCTGCGTCGTGGGGACGACCATTTATGGAGAAGAATTTACTGGGTGAAGATTTGAAAATGAAGTGAAATTTCACTTTGATTTATCAACCATTCAACCCTGTTCATATAGGCGTTATGACCTAACCGTGTTTAACCATACTCCACCTAACTATTCAGTAATAATCTCACCATAAAACCATAAAAACTCACCGTTTCCAAATCTCCAAGTATTCTCAATTTATCCTGTATTTTTTTATAGGGTTTTTTACGAGAATATTACTAAAATAAAACTTATTTAGATAAATATGACTATTCATTACTACAACGTAGTGCTGTGGTAACTAAAGTTCAAAACTTGAACATGAATTACTATGATATCATTACTACTCTAGTAATGAATCATATTTTTGTAAACCATCTTTATTTTGGTCATAATTATGTAATTATTTCTTTTTTATATCGTCAACTGCAAAATATTATTAACCTAAGAGGTCATTAGCCAACTGGCTAAAGATACAATGAGGAGCAGCCTCATGCATAACCTGCTGATTTGGTGAATTAACATGTGCTTTAGCCAACGCATAAGCAGCATGATTCGCAGATCTTTTACAAAAAGAGATATCAAACGCACTCTTTAACCCAAGTAAATAGCTAATATCATCAACAATCATAGAAAGGTAAGAAACTCCATTCTTCCCCTCCAAGCTTTGAATCACCGTAAGAGCATCGGACACGAACTGCACTTTACTCCATCCCGCATCCAAAGCACCCCGCACGGCCTCTCTAACTCTAATGGCTTCCGCACTTTACTCGGTATTTTCTTTTTTAGAAATTACCGAGTAATTTTTTTGAAATTCCAAAATAGGTATTATATGTTTTTATTTCCTAAATAAGAGTAATTTCTTTCAAATTTGGAAAATACATGGCAGAAACTGTCATGTTTAAACTCTGATAATGTCAAACTTGGAAGATAGTACACATATTTAAGGAATTAAAATATGATAGTCTTATTTTTGAATTTCAAAACATTTTTACTAATATTTAGAGAATTTTCCCTTCCCCCCTAAAAGTTTTCTCTTTTTATTTTTATCATCTTGACTCTTTCATTTCCCTTTTCGTCCTCCTATTCTTATTTTTATTTCCTTTCCATGTTTATGTATTCCATTTGATAGAGTATTAATTCTAGAGAGAAGTGAGAGCTAGAGAGAGAAAGTGAGTAATTATATTTCTCAACCCCCTATAACTAGCCCCAAGGGGTCTATTTATAGGAAAAAATGTGGATTTGGGCTCCTAGCCATGGGCTTAGGAGGCCCATTACAATAATCATGCCTTCTTTGGGCGAAATAGGGCCACTAATGGGCTATGTACAACACTTAGTAAATAACGTAGAGAAAAGCATTCTGCCCGTACGAAGCCGAGCCGATGCGGTGCCTTTTGGCCGATGCGGTCCCATGGCCGATGCGGTCCATGGGCCGATGCGGTCCCGGGAGTCCATGCGTGCCTCCTGGGCCGGTTTGGTTTCTGGCCGATGCGGACCCACTGGCCGAAGGGGGCCACGTGGGTGTTCTTCTGGCCATCGTTGACTTGAGTGTGTGGGCCATGGGGTCCAGGCCCATATACTCTATCAGGAGTCCCCCACTCTCTGAGCTGAGGCGAAGCCGAAGCGAAAGGGAGTATTTGTTCCTTCCTGGCTGGCCGTCGTGAGAGCTTGAGGCGCTTGGTGGCCGAAGAGTATCTGCCTTGATTTTGGATGAAGCGGCTTCTTCATTTGATGTAGACGTAGCGCGCTTGAGGATCCACAGCCTTGGTGCGGCCGATGCGCTCTCTGTGAAGTGTCTTGAGGATGATGCGCTTTCTTTTTTGTAGATGTGATGAATTCTGGTGTGGATAAGTTGGCATGCTTTCGCCGTCATCTTGTTGGGGCCGAAGAGCTCGCCATCTATTCTTTTGGCCGTAGCGATGACATATTTTCATGAGATGGAGATGGTTGATTCCATTTACGTAGACGATGCGATGCACGCCTTTGATTTGTCATGTAACCGAAGCGTTTGATTTGTGGGTTCTTTGCTCTGGTGAGCCGATGCGGTCCTTAGTGCTTTTTGTAATTGGCGGGCCGTAGCGCACCCTTTTTGCATTAAGGCCGTTGCGCTCCCTTTTTGTTTCCTTTCTTGTGGCCGATACAGTCCCCCAGTCCCCCACTCCTTTGGCCGAAGAGTATTTGAGGCACAAGGGAGTTATGATGTTCTCGAGCCGATACGGTACCTCATGCGTTAGTCGTGATTCCAACCCTTAGGCGAACCTGTCCAAGGTAACCCTGTGGGAGAACCCTTGGACGAAGGCCGCGATACCAGGGTCATCATCAAACGATGTGCGCGTGAATAGCCGTAGCGGTACTTGTGTTTCTTGGGGTTGCTTTGGGGCCGTAGCGCGTTTCGCTGATGCGTCCACGCCTTTGGTGATATTGGGCCGTAACGGGTTTATCCTTGTTTTTGAGTGAGTAGGCCGGTGCCTACCCTAGCCTCGAGGCCTGTTGGGCCGTAGCGGTGGCCCTAGAGTGGAATGTGAAAGGACAGGCACTGATTGGTCCTAGAAGAGGTGCCGTTGAGGTGGCCAGTTGGAGATCGCCACGTGTAGTGACCGTTGGAGGGGTGCTTATAAATACCCCTAAACCCCGAGGCGTCAACCCATTTGCGATTTTGCTAAGTAACGAAGTGCTGCCCTTTTGTTTCTAGAGAGAGAAAAGCTCCCGAAGTATCTTCAAGTGTTCATTCATCTTCCCCAGATCTTCAAATCTTCAAGGTTAGGTCCTCAACCTGTTCTTTGTTTTTTCCTTATACTTTGCTTCCTGGGGGGTTAGATCTAGTGTTCGTAGGAAAGTCACTTTGATCCGAAAAACCGCCCTTAGGAATAGGTTTAGGTGTTATGCCGTTCCCTAACGGCCGTAGCGTTCCCTCCCCCATTGATTTGACAGCTTCTTTGGACGAGTCGGATTGGCCCTTTGACGAGGACGATACGTCCCCTGGAGTTGATCTTCGACTGATTGAAGCCTTCGAGATCGAGATGGAGAATACCGCCGACTACCGCACCTCTGTAGATGAGGAGAGAATGAGTGCCGACGCGGGAGCACGTAGTTCTGGTGAGGACGAAGCGACATCTAGCTCGCCTCTGAGGGGGGATGAGGCATCCTCTTCTGCCCACATCCCTTGTCCTCCGCCGATATCGTCAGTAGCGGGGGAAGGCCCCTCGGCTCCTAAGACGAAAAAACCGTACCGGCGGAAGCAGCGTAAGGGAGTACCGCAGGGGTTTTCACAGTTAGATCTCAGCAACTTGTATATCATTCGGCCGGAGGGAACCCTCGGCGAGTATCATGTCGCCCAGTTGTATGTGGGGCCATACGGGCGGGTTCGAGCGCCGAAGCCGACGGATCATGTGCTGAATCCCCCACTGGATTATTTCGGGATTTATCCGATGAGCTTTGCGAAGGGTCTGAGGTTCCCCCTTCATCCCTTCATAACGGAATACTTGAACATGGTGGGCCTCCCTCCGGCGTTGTTGACCCCAAATAGCTATTCTTTGATCGTTGGCTTCCTGATCCGGTGCGCTGAGTTGGGCATCTCGGCGACGATGGGTTTATTTATGAATTTGTATAGGATAGGCCGAGGGAGCCACCAGAATTGCGCCGGTTATGCAGCCCTGCAGCAGGTTCCTAAGAGGAGGACGTTCACAGATCTGCCTTCGTCCATCCATGGTTGGAAGGCGAAGTTTGTTTTTGTTACCCTGGGCCGAGGCGGGTTCTTCTCGTCCGTTGGTCATGACGGCATGTTTGAATTGCACAATCCCCCTTGGAACGCTGAAATAAGTAACCAAGTGGAGGCTTTTATCAAGGGCGGGCCGAGGAGTATAAAGACATATGTGACGGAGTATAAGATGGCCGCCCTTGGCTTCGTGAGGTACTATTGTCCTGGTGATGTGGACGATGGCTTCTGGCCGAAGATCACCGGTTCTTATGAGCAGGCCGATGGGCCCCGTCTTGGTGTTCCTGCTGAAGCCGAAGGTTGTCCTTCGTCTACTTACCCTTTTCGTAGCGTTTTTAGTTATTGCTTTACTGATGTTCCTTTGTTTTTTGCAGGTTTTGTTATGGACCGCGTATCTTTTATGGCTCGAGCCGCCAAGAAGGCCGATGCGGAGCTCAAGGCCGCCCAGGCTGCTGAGGCCGCCAAGAAGTCAGCCAGTAGTTCTCAAGGTGGCGCTGAAGCTGTCAAAAAGCCTGTGGCCAAGAAGAAGAGAGGGGCCGATGAAGGCCAGAAAACTTTGGCCGAGGCGGGACTGAAGCCGAGCCAGGCATCAAAGAAGACGAAGAGGGTTCCCTCAAGTGATGAGGCCGGCGCTCCCTCTTCTCAGGCCGTTGTGGATGCTCAGCCGGCCGTTGTCCCTCCTCTGCATGATCCTCCGTCTTCGGCTTTGGTGGCTTCGGCTTCTCGAATGGCTCCCTCCACTGCCGCTGCGGCCCGTCTGGAGGAGGCCCTTGCAAAGGGGACGTACGAGGTGACGGTGCGTTACCCGGTGAAGGGCGGTCTTTTTAATGAGACCGTCAGTGGTGACGACGTGCTTGCTCAGGCTATGCCCGAGTATGACCGGCAGTACCTCAGCCGGCAGGGCAAGCACGTCCATTTGTACGATGGAGGCTTGGATTATGTCGTCCAGGTAATTTCTTTTCCTTGTGATTTCTCCCCTGATCTTTTTGTTTTTCATCCTTTGATTTTGAACTTTCGCTTCGTCCAGGGTGCCCTTATGCTAAGGGAGCAACACTGGAGGCAGGAAGCTGAGATAGAGCGCCTGAAGAAGGTGGAGGAGAAAGCCCTCTCGGCCGGTGAGGCCCTCCAAGACTTGAGGGATAAGGCCAAGGCTGCGGAGGACGAGATGAAGCTCCTCCAGATCCGGCTTGATGAGGCCGAGGCGGCCCGAAGTAAGGTCGATGAAGCTGTTGCTGCCGCCGTCAAGAGAGCCGAGGAGGCGGAGCGGCTCAAAGCTGACGCCGAGGCGGCCGCTGCGAAGGCCGTAGCCGATTTCACGGCTGAGGGGTGGAAAGC